GTACAAAATAAATATGTTATGTCAACAACTTAAAAGTCTTTATTATGTATAAAGATCATTATCAAAATAAATTTTTTTGTCAGGATGTTTTAAACAAAAATTATATTTCGAGGACCAAAAACAAAACTCACCTATTTTTAAGGGACTAAAAATATTTTTAACCCTTAAAAATATTATAATAAATAATAATAAAATAAAATATCTGTAAATTAAATCATAAATCATTTAAGAACTATTAGCCATAATTTATATGTAATTATATTAAACCATGAAATTAATATAATCAAATTACCAAATAATATCTAATATATTTTACCTGCTTTAACAATTTATTTTATAATCTTATGATGTTTTATAAAGTTTCATTGTAGTTTTAAAATATATTTTTTTGTTTATTAACTTACATGAATATTTTAATAAATATAATCAAACTGACTGCTTTGATTTAAATATATCATAAAAATATAAAATTTATTTAGAAGTGAAGAAATATGTTATTAATTACTTAGGGCCAATTGGTGAATTTTGGAGATATTATAAGATGTGGGTTATGAAAACTCATAGAAATGATATGGATTTTATAATCTAAAATGTTTTTACTTGAAGATATTTAAACTCAAGATTTAATTATTGATAAGCAAGAGTGACTGACAACGGGAGTGGTTGGCAGTGACAATGGTAGCGAGTGGCGAAGAATGATCAACAGTACGTTGAGAGAGATATCAAATTCCCATATTGATATCTCCCAAATTCAGAAGATATTGAGACTATCCATTTTAAAAATTTATAATATCTGGAAATATTAAATTTGATAACATTTGTTGCTATATAGTGAAAGTCACATCTCAGCTTCTTAGAGATAATATCAATTTTATAAATAAAGGATCAATTATAAACGTATTTGATTCTTTCCTATAAGAATACTTTTAAACGAAAATATATATTATCAAAATTTTTTTTTTGTGTCTGCACTTAGTTAAAAATTTGATTCATAAAAAATGCTAGTCTAGAAATGATAAGTGATGATACCAATTTTATATTTTCACTAATTTTTTTCTACATCATAATAAGTTTTATCATAAAATTATATTTTATATAATTGTTTTCCTTTGATAATTTTATTTTGGACAATACTATATTTATCTTTCACAACTTTGATTTTATAACACAATTAATTTTATCACAGCATAACAAAATAAATACTCCCTCCGTCCTAATTCTTTCTTCCCAGTTTGACTTTTCCCCATTTTTAATTTTTGGTTTTAACTTCAAATTTTACCCTCCTTAAAAAAGATTTTTTGA